AGTGGCTGTAGGCATTATGTTTTCAGGTTGTTTGTCAGTCTGTCCGTCTGTCGATCCATCCATCTGTCTGTCCCATATCTCAAGAACGCCTCGATGGAATATTCACCTGGACTCAGCAATGACTTGATTAGATTCTGGTGGTCAAAGATTAAGGTCACTATGACCTTAAGTCCTTGCCATTTTCATGGAAACTATATCTCAATCACTCAAATTTGGCACAAACGTTCACTTGGACTCAAGGATGAACTGGTTAGATTTTGGTGGTCAAAGGTTAAGGTCACTGTGACCTTGCATCCTTGCCATTCTCGTGAAAACAATGTCTCAATCCCTCAAATTTGGCACAAACGTTCACTTGGACTCAATGATGAACTGGTTAGATTTTGGTGGTCAAAGGTAAAAGGTCACTGTGACCTTACAGAACATGTGTTTGGCCTTTACTCAAGCATTCACATCCTAATTCTGACAACAGGACAAAATGATGAAGTAATGACATTTTATATCCAAACGTCAAAGGTCAACTTCACTAGAACATCATAATGTTCTGCAAAAACACCTCTATGGCCATTATTTAATGCCATGTATCAGTAACAGAGGGGTAGACACTTGGTCAGATTAGGGTTTTCATGAGAACAGATACTTTGGTACCAAGTCGATGCCAACACGCAAAAAATATGTCGGTACCTGTCTTTTTTTTCAGTACCGTAAGTACCGGATGCAACTTTGCCCTCAGCGGGCCGTGTCGATTCCTGTCAGAACTGACATATATGCGCGTCAGTCTGTGCCGAGGAAGAGCGCTGAAGAGGAACGCCTGTTCTCCATCGTCTTTCTACAAGTGCTAGAGCTTAGATCAGGCCCAAAAAATCCAGCCCAACCCCACCCAAGCCCGTGCATGTTCTGTCCGAGCCCGTCCCGTCCCGTCCCGTCCCGTCCCTTTAACTAACTATGAGCCCGAGCCTGGCTTAAACCCAACTTTTTTTAAGGATACGAACATGGACATTGAAGGCTGACTCTCCTCTTTCTTTCCATGGCAAGCCTTCGTCAGGTGCCTCTTACGTGTTGAGGTCCCCGTCTTTTTGCTGTCATATACCAGCATCGCGCTGCACTTGATACACTCAAGGAAGCCGACACACATGTTGTCACGGTCGATCACTTACATGTGCGCAGCCAGTGGCGCCGTCAACGTGGTATGGAATGAGTATTGAGAATCCTGGAAATTCACTGGTATCAACTACTGGAATTCTGGTACCGTGACAAGCCTAGGTCAGATACTAATTTTGTGACAGTAATCTTATGTGTCCACCTTGAAACTGTTCTGATTGTGTAGATCTTCTGTGCTGCCGGGTTGAAAACGTGTAAAGCATCCACGTTTTAGAAATTGTAGCTTCTTTGCAGCAACATCCATGTTTGAGGTATTGTCAACTGTCATTGTTACATTGTTACACATTGTTGAGTCAGGACAGACATGGGTGTAAACTGTAACTGCAACTTGATAGTTGGCTGAGGCATACAATTGCAAGGCGATAATTCCAGTCTTGCAAGTGAAATAGTGTGTTAAGTCAATTTAGAATTTATACCCATATTTATGAATACAGGTAGCAAATATGTCTCGAAGGCTTCCAGTTTTAGTCAGGAAAGTGCTGTTCTCCGCATGAAGTCAAGTTTTCATTGTTATGCATCGTGAACACTGTGTTTTGACATCTGACCAGCTACTAGCCGCAAGCAAGAGGAGTTTGTCAGCAAGAAAAAGGAGTGTAGAAGAGATGTGTGTGTTGAACCTGAGACCCTTTCTTTGTCTCCAGCACAAAACAGGAGTTACCATTATTATACATAACAGCTGAACAACAATACAGCTGGTTAGAGTCAGGTGATACAGAGAGCATCTTTTAACCCTATATACTTCAACTACATGGTGATCTTAAGTATCTATTTAGTAGGCTGGGCTTTAGTAGTATCTGTTTAGTATTTAAATGGGCTGATTAAAAAGGACAGGGTTGTCCCACTCTTCATTAAAAGCTGCTCATTTGCCAAATTGATATTGAGCATATTTTAACTGTACTGTTGAGCTGGCATCGTCCCCTAGGTGAACCGTTGGGGATCACTAGTAAAACTGCAGAGTAGGGAGAAGCTGAATGAATAAATATGTGATGTGGGCCGATGGATGATCCCTTGGTGGAGGAGCAGACGAGGTGAAAGAGGTAAAGAGGAGGAGAGGAAGAGATGAGTCATCTTAAAGGAATACTTTACCAACAAAATGATCATTTGTTTGTCAGTTACCCACCACGTTATGTTAATTTGTGAAGAAGACTTTGTTTTTCTTTCATGCTTCTACGGTGAACGAAGATCCAAACAAAAACAAGAGAAAATTCTTGATGAATGAGATTAACAGGCAGCAGTGTTTCACAACAGCAAAACTATATCAAAACATGTGTTTGCAAACTCTCACAGAATCATGCAGTATAATCCAAGTCTCATTTATCCAGTCACATTCTCAGTTTTTCCCCAACACATGCATTTGCACTAAAACCTGAGTATTTAAAACACTTCCAGATACGAGTGGTGCCTGGGCAAACGTGTGTGTTTGAACTCTGCTCATTGAGCGGAGTTCAAACGCATACATGGAAGTGCTTTGAAAAGTTTTAGTGAAAATTTGTGTGTTTGGGAAGCACTTAGCATTTGACTGGATATATGAGAGTTGGATTATACTGCACAAGTTGTGTGAGAGCTTGTAAACACATGTTTTGATATAGTTTTGTTGTTGTTAAATGCGGCCTCCTATGACTTCATCAAGACTTCTCAGTTTTTGGATTCTTCATTCACCATGAGATCATGTGTTTCAAGTGAACGAAACAAAGATTTCTCCATGAATTAAATGCAACACTGGGTAAGTAGTTGATACACAAATTATCATTTTGCGGATGAAGTATTCCTTTAATGGGCAATGGTTTTATATCTTGTAGTGCCTGTAAAGGAATTTGGAGAGTCATATGTATGTAAGGGCGCAATTTAATCAAGTTTAGGTGAAGTAAAAAAACAAATGTAGTGAAAAATTCTCCCCAAATAATTACAAGCACATTCCTTTTTGCTGCTTGGATGTTTGAGGTTGAGTGATTGCATGGTCAGTATAAACCTACTAAAATTGGTATTTATTATTATTATTTTTCTATCGTTTTTTTCCCCGTTAAAGGGGTTTTTTTTTGGGGAGTTTTTCCTTATCAGCTGTGAGGGTCTTAAGGACAGAGGGATGTCGTATGCTGTAAAGCCCTGTGAGGCAAATTGTGATTTGTGATATTGGGCTTTATAAATAAAATTGATTGATTGATTGAACGCCAAGTGTTAAAGGGACATTGTGTAACATTTTCAGTTGTTTATTGGGAAAAATTGATGTCTGCATTCATAAATATGTCATCACTGGTGTACTATTACCTCCACCAATAATCTGACTTATTCTCGTAAAAGGAGAATTTCGGATTTGTTTGTACATTGTGTGGGTAAGTCGTCTGTGGGGTTCCATTACGTTTCGCCATCTTGAGAATACACCCGCCAGCAAGGGACATACAGCACCGCCTTCTGCATTTTCGTTGAGAGCCAGGCCAGTACTGCGTGACTGAGGAGCCGAAGGAGAGGAGCAAGAGGCGCTTCGCTACTACCCTGGCAAATTTGAAACAAAGTCCCACTCTTTGAGCATAATGCAGGATCATGCATATGCAGCATCATGGGAGACGGAATCCTTGTCGCCAAGAAAGCGCAAAAGGGAATAGAAAAGGCAGCGTGACCGGCGAATTAAAAAAACGAAGGCCCACATCAGGGTAGCCTTTCCCAGGTAGGGAGAGCTGCTGAGGGAGAATTCTAATGCAATCACAGGCCAGCGCCGCTGTTGGCTGTTAGCCGCTGTTAGCGGCCAGTCGCTAACAGCCTCCTCCCTCTCCTCGCATCACTGCGCCGCTGTTAGCCGCTGTTAGCCGCTGTTAGCTGCTGTTAGCGCTGGCCTGTGATTGTATTACCTTTCTCCTTCAGCAGCTCTCTCCACCTGGGAAAGGCAATGCTGACCCTTGTTTTTTTTTAATTCGCTGGTCACACTGCCTTTTTGATTCCCTTTTGCACTTTCTTGGCGACGAGGATTCAGTCTCCCGTGATGCTGCATAATACATGATCCTGCATTATGCTCAAAGAGTGGGACTTTGTTATGCGGCAGTAGTGCCGCTGGCCACTAACAGCTGTTAGCGGCGCAGTAATGCGAGGAGAGGGATGAGGTGTGTGAGGTTGAGCCACTTGTCAGTTGTCAAAGGACAAGACGTGATTGGTTTGTTTCAATTTACATCCGCCCCAACAGTCCTACGTTGTAAACACAGCCAGCATGGTGAGGAGGGGGTTTGTCAACTCGCGTCGCGTGTGTCTGAGTAGGAGCCTGAATGAATACTCCATGTAGTATCGGATGACATGGTTTCATCAGTGTTATCATAGCTTTTTGGTACACAGCGGCTACAGTTGTTGCAATACGTGTTTGAAACAGTGAGGCGCTAGAGTGCGCCATCTGTTTAATGCAATATATGATTTCAACATTAGATGGGAGAAATTCCTACACACTGTGGCTTTAAGATACTATATTAACTAAATGCTCAGGCACTTGATAGCTGTTAAGGAACACATAATTTCATTATTGAGATCCAGGGAAAATTGCCCACTACTGGCAAAAGAGATTGCAACTGTTTATCTGTCTGAAGACAAATGTTGAGAATTCAGCTATTAAACATGATTGTCATTTGTGGAAGGAGATATCGTGAATTGCAGTACTGTTTGAAGGGCAGATTCAATTTGTTTTTACTTGTGGCCGTCTTTTCATTAGTAGACTGGTGAGATTTTTTTGTAGCTGGATGCAGAACAGCACACATTTTGAACCAGTCAACTATAATTTTACAAAGATTACTATAAATATGAGTTACAGCAAGAACACTATCTTAACCACAGGAAATAAACTCCTTTATCTTTTCACCCCCTCACAGCTGGAAGTTTCAACCACAGACTTTGCTGGAAACCTTGTTGAGGGACCGGCCATGCTAGTGATCACCGTCATCGACCAAAATGACAACCGGCCCATCTTCAAAGAGACACGCTACACAGGAGAGGTGCTCGAGGGATCCCCTACAGGTAGGTGTCATTGTTATATTGAAGGACTCTGGAGGGAACTGGGCTTTTATTGGATTTAGTTGGACAGCAATATCACACACACACTATGATTGCTGCACTTGAGATGTCTGTGATCTTAGGCTGAGGTGTGGTTGTGTCGATGATATCTACATTTGTGTCCTGAGCCAGGTAGCTTTTATGTGTTGTTGCAGTGATTGAGTCAAAAAACACACTGTACATGCTTTCATTTTTAAATCAGTGCAAGACAAATATCTTTCATTAGAGCGCCGAACTCCATGCAGTTCACCTCAGCACCTTAGGATGCTTTCAGACCTTGAATTCACTTGCTTTGGTCCGAATCAGGGATTAATTTTTTTACAAAGTTGCATAATTGCCTAGAGTTGGTTTGTGTTCACACGGCAGCATTTACAAGTGGACCAGATCAAATGCCTTGTGCAAGAAAGCTGCTCTTGATTGGTCAGAATTTGCATGGGGGAATAATCCAGGAAGTAAACAAAACGTTGAAGAAGAGTACACTTGCGAGATACATGCGACACTTCCTAATGTCACAGTGGAGGGACAACTGTATGCGGGCTGATTTTAGCGCTGGTCATCATGTACTATATTGCTGCCATTGTTCATTTTAGGCAAACCATACAGTTTGAAAACGAGGTGCAGCTCATACTAGAAAACAATGTTTCAAAGCATTGGATGCACCAAATGTGCATATTAAGGCAGTACAGGAGGAGGCGCACATTAATATTCTACCAAGACTGTAACATGCTCATTCTTGTTCAACCCAAACAATGCGTAATGCGAGTGCAGTTGGTTCGGATCGAGGTCGGAACACGTTCTCACCACAAACGAACTGCACCAGCATTCTTTTGTAACCGGACCAAGACCATCTCTTCAAGAAGGTCTTGGTCCGGTTGTTTTGGTGCACACCCAAGTGTGATTGCTGTGTTCACACCTGCCCAAACAACCCACACTTAGGGTGCAAACGAACTTAGTTAGTTAGTTTGAACTGATCCAAACAGGGCAGGTGTAAAAAGCACCCTAACGAATCATTATACAGTGCTGTGAAAAAGTTTGTCCCCTTACTGATTTCTTTTATTCTTGCATATTTGTCACACTTAAATGTTTCAGATCATCAAACAAATTTTAATATTAGACAAAGATAACCTGAATAAATACAAAATGCAGTTTTTATATGATGATTTCATTTATTGAGGGAAAAAAGCTATCCAAACCTACCTGTGGCAGTGTGATAGACTGTGGCACCACCTGCCCTCCACTCCCCCATATATCCTTTTGTACGAGTGCTGCCATGAGGGGGCTGAAAGCAACCTTTTTTGTTTGTTTAATGTGCTTGTGTTGTCTCATTTTTCACACACAATCTTATGTCATCAGAATAACTTAAGGATGCCGTGCTCACAGTTGTCGTAAATATCCTCATATCACACTTATTACACCCTCTTTTTACCCTTCCTCTCTCTTCTGTGACAGCGCCTTGAAATAGTGTGACACTGACACTTTGTGGAATGAATTCCAAAAATTTGAAGTTTACCATTTGTTGAGCTGCGTTTGAGCATATTCTGCAGACATGTATCTTCTTGTGTCTGTGAAGATGAACTTGAATCTGAAGGTATTATACAGTCAGGCAGACAAGGTTCTTGAATCAGTGGTGTGATTTCAGGTTGCCATTTTAGCATTCAGCAAGGCATCCCTCAGCAAGTGTGTGATGTCACCACTATTACCACTATGTAATCCTGGAGGTGTTGCTGCTTTACTGGATGATTAATTTTAACCACTAATGTTATTTCTAAATCTATACATATTGTTGCTGTGGCTACAAAGTATATGACAAAATTTCAATAGAGCTAAAAGAGCTCCACTGAAGTAGTATACAATGCTGCATTCACGATCACATACTTTTTCTATTTACTTTCAGTATGTGCTACACTTGCCCTTACAAAATACCTACTGTTGCATGGAGGTGCATACAATTGGGGCATACTACTTTGTCACAACATTTTGCCTTGAACCTTAACCCTCTAACACATACATTTGTTGCGGTCCATAGTGTAAATTTGAAATAAAAAGAAAAGTATTTGATTTTGAAGGCAGCAGACATCAATATTATCACCATTACCTTGGAGATGTAACAAAACGCCTTTCATTGAGCTCACCAAAGGCAGAGGTCAACCTGGAACACTCTGCTGTTGTTACTGCGCAATGTTTGTATTTTTAAAGGGACTCTATGTAAAATTCAGAGTGTATGAGTTGTGTGGACACAGTTCTCAGTATGGAAGTTGGCCAGCAGCCAACAGTGTTAACCCCATATGATGCAAAACAACAGCAACAGTGCAGACAGAGCCCATAGTGTCCCAGTATCAGGGATAACCGCCCAATGAACACAGCGCAAAGCATAGGCAATGAGCTAGCCAGTTGGATACACATATGCACTAACATGCACAAGCAGCCAGACCTGCTTACCACAAAAAAATACATGGAGAAATTCAGATTACAACCCACACAGAGGGAGCATGACTTCATTCTCTGGTCATGATGCCATTACTCCACTATATCTATACATAGCAGTTCCCTTTCAGTCGATTCACTCGGCACAACACACAGTTGTATATGGGATATCTTGCTTTCATCCCCCTTGGCTGAATACACCTGTAATCACGGCTGTAGGCAGATAGTGCGTGACGACGCATGCTCTTTGCGTGGCCCCGCCCGCGCATAAGAGGCCGGTCGTCAGCTCCATCCCCAGTTCTTTTGCATTTCACCTCGCAGAGAACACCTTGCAACGCCTACTAGCTTTCAGCTAATTTAGCTTATCGGCTATCGGAAAACTAACTAAACTGTTCTGTTGGTGTTAGCCTAGCTTCCCACAGAGCGCTAGTTTTTCCACCAAATTACGCTAACGGGAAATATCGCATGATGAGTACCGTTCCTAAGAATGCTAAGAAGAAGTCGGCTCATCGGCCTTGCCCCCAAGGATGCGGCTTCGTCTTACGCCGTAAGGACTTACACGATGCCTGCCCTGCCTGTCTCGGTGTTATCCACGCGCACACCGCGTTGGCCGAGCCGGAGAAATGCGATAGCTGTCGCCTTCTCCCGCGAATAACACTCGAGAAGCGGGAGGTTTTCGTGCTTAAGGTCCTCGGCTCCGCGGCTGCTAGCAAGCAGGACCCTCTGCTCTCTGAGACGGCTGATGCGGTTTCGTCCGCCTCTGAGCCCGAGGAGCTCCCGGGTGAACCCCCCTCAAGTGAGTGGGACAGCCTGGCTTTCTCTGGCAAGCCCATGGAGGGCGAACCGGCGTATTCATCCTGCGCTGCTGGCAAGCTTCAGCTCGACATGTCCGCTTCTTATTCGGAGGACAATGTACTGGACCTCGGTCTCGATGCCCAGGCATTTTCCGACGACGAACAAGAGGCCTTCTCCTCAGCCCAAAGCGTCGCTTTGGCCGCGTCAACTGGCCCTGAGGATATGTCTTTTTTCGCACTGTGCTGCTGTGCTGCAGCTAAGCTGGAGGTGGAGTGGCCTTCCCCCCCCCTCCAAGCAAGAAACCGTCCTCTTTTGCCGGGTTTCATCTCCCGCGGGAATCCACGACGGTTAAAAATTGTCTGCCCCAGCACGCGGATCTTATGGCTGAGCTAACCTCCTCCTGGTCCCGTCTATTGTCCACCCGCATCACCATACCCGGCTCTGGTCAATTCACGGAGTTGGACGGAGCAGAGGCGGCCGGCTTGGTAAACTCCCCGCCTATGGAGCCCTCGCTAGCAGCTTATTTAGCCCCGTCACGCAACCTCGGCTCAACCGGCCCAACCCTGCCATCTAAACAGTGCAGATTCTCCACCGGTCAGCTGGACAAGATTTACCGGGCGCAAGTGGGCGCCGCGCGTGTCCTCAATCCCCTGTCCATGCTCCTGACTTACCAGGCTATCCAGCTTATGGAGCTTGACAGCCGGCTGCCTCCCGACAGCCCGCTGACACCCGCCATAAGGGAGCTAAGAATTATGACGGACTACATCCTTCGCTCGGCTCGCTTTGCGGCTCTCTACCTCGGCAGGGGCATGGCCTCCACGGTGGTGGCGCACCATCATTTGTGGCTCACTCTCTCCGATATTCCGGACAGGGATAGGGTCGCATATCTGGACGAGCCAGTATCACCGGCGGGATTATTTGGCTCCTCACTCGACGCCATCCAGGCCAAGTTCGAGCTCAGGCAGAAGCAGACGGAGACTCTACGGAATCTTATCCCCAGACGTGATGCCAGGCCCAGGCAACCAGCTGCGGCTCGCAAGCCCATGGGCCCCCCTCCTCCCCCCAAGAGGAGAGACTCCTCGGCCTCTTCCGGCCCCCGCCCAGCTAAACAGACATCGGACCAGAACCCTCGTCCCTCAGCCTGGAGTAAGGGTCCACCACCGGGCCTGAAGGGCTCACCGCCCCGGAGGAAGATTAATCCCCCATCCTAGCCCCAGGGAGGGGGATGGAGGGCTACATGCCGCAGGGAGAGGCGGTTTCCCTCCTCGTTTCGCCGCTAAAAAGGCCGCGGTTGTTTCGTGCTCAGTCTCCCAGCCTCAAAAGACGCTGTACTGTTGCCACTCAGTCTCCCAAGCACTTAACCCCCCCATGTATGACCACTATGTGTGCTCAAAATGTTCAGTTAAACACTGTGTGTTCCCCAAATGTTCATGTTCTCAATGCCCCAATAAAGGTGCACATTGTTCATGGTACAAGTGTTGTAAATGTTCATTGTACAGAATCAACAATAAAACACCCACCACAAACAATAAATCAAAATATAATAAACCAGACAAGTCTGTTAGTGTCAACCCACCCCGGCCCGCTAGAGGGCGCAACGGGCTTCCAGGGCCAACTGGCAGCACATCTCCCTCAGTGGCGCACATGCGCAGCCTCCCTGTGGGTACAACAAACCGTTGCCAATGGTTAGTGGCTACAGTTCCGGGTCAGACCACTGCGGTTCCGCACGATCGTAAACACGGTGG